CATTGTCTTCTCAGTATCTGTAATAAGGCCATTATTGTGTTTTTACTAAATACTCACTACTTAATAATTCTGATTATGATTACACAGCTCTTAAAGTTTGCGACTATATAAAAAGACCTAAGTTCTGGAGCTTGATTCTCACTGGTCAAACTTTCTACCTCCTTGACCTGCTCCTATTTCTTGTTCGAGACTACCTGCTCTCCCACTGAAGATCCCATCAGTGCTCTCTTTGCCCTTTTTGCCCATTAGAAGGTCCTTGGGCCGTTGTTTTATTTTTTTCTGTCTCTTTATTTCATGCCCTTTCTTCCTAGACCATTTAGTCTGAAAACTCCGCTGAAACTTGTTCAGCATTATAGCAACATGCAATCCTTCCGAAAATTAGCCAATGAAAACCCTATGGATAAAAAGAGGCAGGATTTCATTCCGTTGTGCTTGAGGTCATCAGGAGTCAGGCAGACTAGACAGCAGTGAACAACAACGTATTCCATGCCCATAGTGTGGGTTTGAAAAAGCAGCAATTCTGGCAGTAGGGGTAGGAGGTGATCTACAAGGTCACTGGTGGTGCTGTGGGAGACTGCAGGATTCCTGGGTGACAGCATCTTGAGAGTAGAGAAACTGCATTAAGAACACAGTTGGGGGCACTTTTGGGGAAGGAGCACAGTGGAAAACCCTGTTGTAAACTCTGGCTCTTGTATTCTGGAGGCTGGGGGAAGAGGAAATCTTGACTTCCTTTTTGAAAACTTCTTTTCACGACTAATAAAGAGGTTTCCCTTCAAGTTAGCTTTAGGTAAAATGTTTAAGTGGTCATCCAATATCTGGTCTCAATTTCTGGAAAACAGCTTCTATTAAAACACAGTGTCTTTTAGCTTATAATTAGATCTAAAAGGCTCAAAAATGCAAATACTTGAGAGAGTTAACAAATAAAAAGCAGTGCTTTTGTTAGGAACAGGAGTTAAGAAGACACTGGGTCCCTGAAAAGACTGGTGGTCCTTAAAACCCATTGCCGTCAGTTGATTCTGACTCATAGGACACAGTAGAACTGCTGGATAGGGTTTCCAAGGCTATAAATCTTTATGGAATCAGACTGCCACAGCTTTCTCCCACAGAGCGCTGGGTGGGTTCAAACCACTGACCTTTCAGTTAACAGCTCAGCACTTTAACCACTGCACCACCAGGGCTCCTTAGAATGGTGGTCCAAAACCAAACCAAACCTGTTGAGTTGAGTTGATTACAACTCATAGCGACCCTGTAGAATGGTGGTAGATAGTCCTAAATCTATGGACAGCAGGGTCAGGACAAATTGTTGGGGTACCAGACATGGATCACAGATACTCCTCTTGGAGGCCAGTGGATCTGACCAGAGAAACTTCAGCCAGCAGCTAGTGCATGGGAACCAGATATTAAGAAGCAGATTATTTGTGAAGATAAAAATTTAGGGATGTCTAGCCACGGGAGAAAAGACCTGGTGATCTGCTCCCACAAAGATAATAACCTAGAAAACCCATGGGGGCCATTGGGTTGTTACGAGTGAGAATTAGCCCGATTGCACCTAACAACAACAACAGCAGCAGCAGCCGCAGCAGTTTATGGAATGGTGGTAATGGAAATGTGCATATATCAGAACCGTGCAAAGTGACAACTGCCTATACAGTGGAAAATTGGATTTTTAAAGTAGTACAACAATCTCTCCCCTCCTACATTGTCTTCTAGAAGCTGGCCACTTCCTTATCAAGAGGTAGGATCTATTTCTCCTATTCTTGAATCTGGGCACAAATTTGAATTTAGGGGGCAGTTCTACCCTGTCCTATAGGGTTACCACAAGCCAGAATTGACTCAACAGCAACAAGTTTGGTTTTTGGTTTTGTAACCAACAGAATGTGGCAGAAGTGACTGTGTGATTTCTAAAGATGGATGATAAAAGACAATACAGCTTCTGCTTTGTGAGCTGGACCCCGTTCACCAAAGTTCTAAGCTACTACGTAAGCCGTTGGATTGCCAGAGACCATCGTGCTGTGGAAAAACAAAACAAAACAAAAAAAACCTGTTGCCGTTGAGTTGATTCCAACTCATAGCGACCCTACAGGACAGAGTAGAGCTGCCCCATAGGGTTTCCAAGGAGTGGCTGGTGGATTCAAACTGCTGACCTTTTGGTTAGCCGCCACAGCTCTTAACCACAGAGCAATCAGGCTGAGGAAGTCTAAACAAGTTCCTGTGGAGAAACCACATGGAGAAGGAAGGGTATGTAAACTTACTGATCCAGTATCATATTGTTGAACTTTTAGGTTGTTTCCAACCTTTTGTGATACAAATAATACTGCAAAAAGTTCTTTGAACACACTTCATTTTTCACAAGTGCAAATCTATGTGCAGGTTAAATCCCAAAAACCAGAATTAGCACAAAATCTTAAAATGAGAAGGATGTTTCTTTTTCGCACCCCATCAATAAAGTTAGATCAAGTGAGATATAAGAATGTACTTAAGTTTTCAGGGAAGTGTTTGGTGGTTCATTTTTTTTTTTTTTTAAATAGGAAAGCTAAAAGAAAGGTTTTATTTGGCATATATTCAAAAGAGGCAGAAGTGAGAAACGGCAGGCATGCTGCCAGAGCTAAGTCTGCTCAATTCCAAAGAATATTACAGAGTAGACAAAAGTGGAAAAATGGGCAAGCATACTACTAGAGCCGTATCTGCCTGAGTCCAAGGGACATTACAGAATGATCAGTATATACTAACATTACAAATGGGCAAAACCATTGAAAGCTTCACCTTTTCACAGATTGGCTAAAAACTGTTAAGTCATCGTGATTCTACATTTTGAATTGTCTTTCTTAATAATCATTGGTAGAAGTTTCAGTAATGGCAATCAGGAGGGTCTTCACTGGTCCAACAAATCTTACTACTCACCAAATGCTAACAGAGAAAGATAAGAGTGTAAAGTATGTGGGTCTTTTGTGCTGTTTATGATTTGTTTATTTGAAAGGTTCCCAAAAAGATGTTTTCCAAGATTGTCCTAGCTATTGTCTTTATATCTTAGGGCCCAGTTGATGTGTCCTTGTGAGTCCTTATGAGCGCAGCTCCAGCTGGGTCACATTCTCTATGCTCAAGGACAGGGAATAATGGCTTCCATGTTATTTCCTAAATCTTTCCCTCCTTTTGATCGGAGATTGGAGATAGCACACCAATAATCAATACCTGAACTTAGGATGCTAGATGGTGGCTGTGGCAGGCTGTTTAAACCACGGTACTGGTTTTCCTTGGGGGTTCATTTTGTAAGTGAAGTAAAAGTTATAAATATTATTTGTGCTAATATAACAAAAGGCACCAATAGCAACAGTGAAGAAGATAAATTTTGTTGGGGTGAGAAAAGTCCTTGGTCAAGGGACTTCATTCTCTGATTCAAAAATGTGTTTTGTAAAAAGATAGCCACATTCCTCTGACCAAGAAATTGGGTAGCTGCATATTCTTTAACCTATGTTCCTTAACATAACAAAAATAAACAAAAAGCAGGTGAACATCGGGGAATTAAAAAAACACAACAACAACAAGTTTTAGGGGTCAATGCAGAGGGCAATGGTGGTTCAAGGGTAGAATTCTCACCTTCATGAGGGAGACCTGGGTCCAATTTCCAGCCAATGCACCTCAAGTACAGTTACCACTCGTCTGTCAGTGGAGGCTTGCGTGTTACTATGATGCTAAACAAGTTTCAGTGGAGCTTCCAGACTAAGAAAGAGTAAGAAGAAAATCCTGGTGATCTATATCTGAAAACCAGCCAGTGAAACCCTATGGATCACAGCAGTCTTATCCCATTGTACATGGGTTGCTATGAGTCAGGGCCGACTCCACCGTAGCTAACAACAACAGGGGTCAATGCTGAAGTCAATATCCATTCATCTTTATGACGTGCACCTGATTTTTTTCAACATTTACTGAAAGATGTCCAGCTCAAAACAAACCTCAGGGGTTGCTCATAATAAGAATCTTATGTCTTTAGAAAAAGTTAATTACATTTGGCATTATTTTTTTAAGACAAGGAAGTTCATTTGACACTTTTGATTGTCACACAAAAAGAACAACACAAAACTATCTGGCTTTAAAGAGTTAACCCTTAGTGATCTCAAAAGTAGCTATCTAGAACATTCACTTCTGTACCTTGCAGATTTCAAATTCTTTGTTTAGGTTTCAGCTTAACTTTGTCTTGATGCTAGGCTAATTGAAAATTCTGTACAATGTTTCCTCTCTAAGACAGCTGCACTTGTACATGTCTTAGGTCTCTGTGGTGGCTAGTTTCAGCTGTCTCAATAGACCTGATAAGGCAGTATTTTAGTTAATATGTAGTAAAGTTCTGAGAGTGCTCTAGCCAACTTCCTTGTCTTTAGCTCACCCTCAGAGTATTTGTCTACTAATTTCAGCTTTGTTTGTTCTTTAATTTTAAAATATGTATTTGGCTTCAAAGGGTTCTGTTTCCCTCTGCTGCATCACTTGATTTAGGCACTTCTATTTTTTGGATAATTCTTTATTATGATCATGCTACTGTTTGCTAAAGCATAGATGGTCAAAGCCCAATTTCCTGCATAGTTGAGCCAGCCTCAAAGAAGTGAAGTAGTGGATGATCCACCAGAGGGTTCCAGTTTCAGAGTGTGCACGTGTCACCTTCTTGCTGAAATGCAATCCGCGTTTCCTACTTTGTTTGCTTTCCACGTGAAGTGCTCTTCTAAGACCTAACCTTTACTCAGTGAGTGACTTTCTTCCCCGGAAGTCAAAGGAAGCTAAGTTATGAAATAGCTGTTTTATGAATGTTATAGCTATGCTGGACTAAAAGGTCTAAATTAAAAGATCTAATTATTATTTTAAAAGGCAAAGATATTCTAGTGTGTCAAACAAAAAACAAAAAACAAATCTTCTAGCCACTCTTTCAATGGAAGCGATGAAACCCAAAGAATTCATGTAGCGAAATGGAGAAAACAAGAAGGACGGCCATCTAAAACTCCGCCATTGGTGAAGTGATGAAGGACATTTACTGGCTCATTCTGAAACTTGTCAATTTTGCAACTGTTGGCTGCATATGGATTTCTGTGGTACAGTGTACAGTCTTAAACGGCTGCCTCAAGTCATGTGTAATTAATCTGGTAAGTTTCACCACTCTAATATTTATTTTTGCAGGAACTAGAACATGTAAAGTTGTTATAACTGTCAGAATTATTTTCTTTGAGAGTTTTCTTATGAGATATGGTATCAAGTCAAGAAAGATTATTTTTTTCTGAAATAAGTTAGGAATACTTATTGCAGAAGGTAGGGCAAGGCTGTTTATTTCTTTATCTTTTCACAGATATTTTATTTGGGAGTGGGGATTGGGTAAAGGAGGCTGAAACAAAATCAGTTTGGCATGATTTTTAAAAATTTCAATTTTAACTCATTTATTATAAAATCATTTATATTTGTCTTGAAGCATGAAATAAGTTTGGCCACAGAGTAATGCCTTCTAGTTCCAGACAAAGAGTATCATTTATATTGTGGATGGAGGGCTGTATAAGGAATTGGATGACCAAGGAAGCAGATACAGGTGCCATGTAAAACAACATTTTATTTTAGAAGTGAGAATTATTTGCAAATCTCTTTATTATATCTGTGCATTTGAAAATTTTTCTGTAATGAGTTTTTTATATGGATATTGGTGTTTTTCATTTCTGGGTGTCATGCCTCCTATACATGCACGACATCTTTTCAGTTACTGTGATTTAGCTGTGCTTAAAATAGTCCCTAAGTCAACTTTGAAAACTTAATATACTCTAGCCAGGGAAAGATGCATTCTTCTTATTGAAACACAAAGGAAATAGCATGATAGTTTGCATACAACAGTATTTATAGTTATACTTTTAAAATAATGAAAGCACTCAATACAGTACTCATTACTATGCTAAATTATCGGTGATAGAATTCTGTGGTATATTAAAAAATAAATTTATTTGGGTTACACTCTTTTGGTTTAATACAACCTGTAGTTAAAAATGCTGCTTTGGCTTATGATGGGTAATAGCACTTAAAAAAAAAAAAAAAAGCTTGATATTTATACAAATTTTTATTGAAGACTTCATTGCCATTAATGTTTTCATTTTCTTACAGTTGTAATCCAGATTTAAAAATGAAAGAATAGAACTATAAAAGATTGTCTTTTCAAAAGAATATTTTATTTTTCTCTGATTATAACAGGAAAACACATTTATAAAATATTTATAAAATAGAGAACAGTATAAAGTAAGGGATAAAAGCTATAATTCCACCACTGTTAACCTTTGGTTATATTTTTCTTTCAGTATTTTCTTTCTTTGTATATATTGTTACACACAGCACCCAACACTTTCATTTAACGTTATATGCGAGCATTTCCCCATTCACTTACAGTTTTTTTGGAAACAGAATCTTTAGTATGTTTAGAGTATTCCATCGTATGAATGTGCCACCATAATTTAATTCCCTTACTATCAAAATCAATTTTAGTTGTTTTCAATATTGCAATCTTCATTTTACTTTAGTTTTATTTTTATCTTATCTTTTTGTGTGGGCTCCTTGATTTCAGGGTTTGGCAGTAGGAGCAGACAGTTTGTTCTTTTGTTGAGTTGTCTTCCGTTCACCACCTACAGAGAAAGGCACAGCTGATGTGGTGGCGACTGCAAGAGAGACATGGTCTGCCAACCTGACCAATGAATGTAATAAATGTTGTCCATCTGGGTCTCCCACGCAGAGGCTGGGGGGACAAAAGCGAGGTGAATAAACAATTGAACATAGCCATGGATTGAGGAGGAACACATGTAAAGCGCCCAAGTTTATTATAGCTTCTGAAATTTTTTCTGAGTCATTCTTTTTAGCATGGACATTTACTGTTAAGGTCGTCTTTGATTTCATTGGGTGGGTCTTGATATTGAAGCATTTCTTCTTTTTAAAAAGAAACAAAAAGATTCTTGCTCAGAGGAATGTTAGAATTGCTGCCAAAGATGCACAAATCATAGTTGTGTGCTTGAGCATGGCTGTTTTACATTAATTGAAGGATCTACATGTATTAGCTGATCTAATATTTTTAAATTCTATACGTCATGTACTGCAGAAGACAAAAAATAGTTAACGTTCTTCAGAACACTAGTATTGAGAGATACTTTACAAAAAAGAAAAAAAAGATTCATGATCAAATAATTTACAGAAATGCTTTTTGCTATAACCTCTTCCTGCAGATCCACAGGGCATAATAGCTTATTAAGGGCTTTGTTTAATCACAATTTTCCAAACTTCCTTGGCAACACAACCTTATTGTGAGTAACACCTCTCAGCAACTGAGGAGCTAGCATTGAGAAGCGCTACATTAGAAATATCAGTTTGATTCGATTAATGCTCCTGAGCATGTATGTGTGTTCAGCTTTGTGGTAGATGCAATAGGGAATACTAAATAAGTGAATTGTGTGATCATTGCCTTCAAGGAGGTTACAACACATTGAAAAGTCAAGGTTTCTATCATTAAATAATTAAATACTTTTGCAAATATGATATATTATGGTTTTTACAATATTAGAGGATGGTAACAATACATTTTTTCTTTTGATCTGCATCCAAAGTTCCAAAAGAATCAGCTAAAAGATTATTAGAAACAATAAAGTTCAGAAGTTTGTTCTGTTAAAAAAAAATAAAGTACAAAATTAATACCTTTCTTATAGATCAGGTTAAAACTTTAAAAATAGATAATGGAATAAAACTAAAATTACAAACCAAAAATCCAAAAAGTCTACAAAATATCTAGAAATTAGGATAGCTTGTATTGGTGTAAGAATAGACAGACCAATAAAACAGAACACAGTCCAGAAAAAACAATCTCTAGGGGAGTTTGGAATATGATAAAGATGGCAATTCAAACCGTTGGGGGTGGGGTGCAGCTAGCCATTTGGAATAAAAATGAAACACTATAGCACCTCCAGATTCAAATAATTTCTGGGAGGATTTAACAAATACAATTTTTATACAAATACCAGAAACAAAACAAAACTTCATCCCATAAAAATTTTAGAAGAACAAATAATGTATGAGACCACAATTATAAAAACCCAAGAAAAGTTTATACAGAGAAAAAAACAATCTTTGATGAGGAAGGGGAGGAGTGGAGAGGGGAAATCACTAACTAGAAAGTAGACGAGTGTTAGCTTTGGTGAAGGGAAAGATAATACACAATACAGGGGAAGTCAGCACAACTTGACCAAGGCAAAGTCATAGAAGCTTCCTATAAGGAAGCTTGGGGGACCAGCTTACTGGGGCCAACGGCTGGGGACCATGGTCTTGGGGGACATCTATGTCAATTGATATAACATAGTTCATAAAGAAAATGTTTTACGTCCTACTGTGATGAGTAGCATCTGTGGTCTTAAAAGCTTGTGAGCAGCCATCTAAGATACATCTATTGTCCCATCCCGCCCAGAGCAAAGCAGAATGAAGAAAACCAAAGACACAAGGAAAAATATTAGTCCAAAGGACTTATGGACCACATGAACCACAGCCTCCACCAGCCTGAGCCCAGAATTAGATGGTGCCCGGCTACCACCATCCACGGCTCTGACAAGGATCACAACAGAGAGTCCAGGACAGAGTGGGAGAAAAATGTAGAACAAAATTCAAATTCACAAAAAAAGACCAGACTTATGGTCTGACAGAGACGGGAGGAACCCCCAAGACTATGGCCCCCAGACACCCTGCTAACTCAGAATGGAAGCCACTCCCAGACTCCACCTTTCAGCCAAAGATTAGGCCTATAAAACAAACAATAACACATGTGAGGAATATGCTTCTTAGTTCAATATGAAACCAAATGGACAACCCCTGCCCAAAAGCAAAGAGGGAAGGCAGGAAGGGACAGAAAAACTGGATGAATGGACATGGAGAACTCAGGGTGTAAAGGGAAAAGGGGAGGGTGCTGACACATTGCCAGGATTGCAATCAATGTCACAGAAGAATGTGTGTACAAATTTTTGAATGAGAAAGTAATTTGTGCTGTAAACTTTCACCTACAGCATACATACGTACATACATATATATACATGTATATGAAGAAATTATCAAACCCATTGCCGTTCAGTTGATTCCAACTCATAGCGACTCTGTATGACAGAGTAGAATTGCTCCACAAGGTTTCCCAGGAGCAGCTGGTGGATTCGAACTGCCGACCTTTCAGTTAGCAGCAAACTCTTAACCACTGCACCACCAGGGCTCCAGAAGTAATCAGGCTAAATTTTTTTTTTTTGTCCCAATTTTTTTTTTTTTTTAATTGTACTTCAGGTGAAAGCTTACAGAACAAATAGTTTCTCATGAAACGGTAGTACACATATTGTTTTATGACATTGGTTAACAACCCCACAACATGTCA